GTTTCTAGCCAGGCAGAAGCCTGGGAAAGAGCTGGGGAAGAACGTAAATAATTCTTTATCTCTCTTGTTGTTCATGTGGTTTATAGTTTGTTGCAGCATTTTTGAGAGAAAGAGGACATGAGTTATGAGATTTGAGCTACTCCAGTCTAGGCCTCAGATTTGGGCCTTGTGAGGCCTTCCAGCCTCTGACGCAGTTGGAAATTCAGAGCTTGTGGCGCAGATAGAAATAGTCTTAAGGTGTGATGGGGACCACTGGGCTGTCTGGGTGTAAATTAGTATAGGTTTCATAGTGTAAGGTGTAGGCCGTTTTAAGGAAAAGGTAAACAATGTTAGCCTACCAATCAGAGTGTCTTTGTTTCTGTAAACTATATGGAAGCTTATATAAACTACCATCTTATCTTGAATAAAGAGAGAACATTTGATTAACCACATTGGTTCAGATCTGCGTTTGTCTTGTCCAGCTTCCTGTTTTTCTGAGATTCCCTGGCTTTTATAGTTAAGTTCTATCACTGTGCATCAGGCACTCTGCACCAATGGTTGAGTTGTTTCCACTTCAGGACCAATGGAATTAGTTGTCACAGAGCTCTGTATAAAAGAGCAGTGCATTTTGAATAAATGGGAGTTTTACTCTCAGCAGCCTTCTGAGTCAGTCTTCTCATTCCCATCCTGCCTCGACAGCAACAAGGAGGTATTATAAAAGAGGATCTTTATTTGAAGGCCTTCAGGAGCACTTATGGAAAGTTGCCCACAAAAGCTCGCCCCCACAGGGATGAGTACATATTTATAGGTTTTAGGAAATTCGTATAATTGATAAAAAGCACCAGTTAGGAGGACAAGGGGTGATTCAATTCTTCCCCCAGGTCAAGCCCCTCTCTGGAGTCCCCCCCTCAGCAGTAGCTGTGCTTTGTCCATGAAATGGATCTGGAAGAGTTGTTCTTGACCTTGGTTCCCAGGAAGAACCAAGATAGGAGGGGGCCCTTGTAACCCCGGGGGTTTGGAGCTCTGGAATTTGATTTGTCTTTCTGCCGAGGGAAAGGCCATGGAAAATTACTGGGAAAACTAGCTGCTAGTGCAATAGGCTACAGAGCTACAAATATATGTGCAAAAATACAGAGAATATATAAAAGAAAAAAAAGGCAAACTCAAACCAGCATCAGTCTCAGGACCAGCACAGTGGTGGAGGGGTTAAATATTGTGTTACTGTAAAGTTCTTTTTCATGTTTAATATCTTGTTACAGACAGGAGATTTATGCATTAGCATTAGGATGAGGATATATGTATTAAATTTTTCTTGTGCACCGTGTGCAAATGTGCTTGACTTAGAACAAATCCTTTAGTATGTCTGTTTAAGGATAATGGATGATTATTGCAGAAGGCAAGTTTTATATAATGAAATCATAGAGATGTAAAATGGTTTGGGGTGGAAGGGAACCTTGAAGATCTTCCAGCTTGAGATCCACTGCCCTGGGCTGGGGACACCTTTCACTAGTTCAGGCTGTTCAAAGCCATTCTGGCCTCGAACACTTCCAGGGATGAAGCATCCACAGATTCTCTGATCAATCTGTGGCAATGCCTCCCAGGGAAGAATTTCCTCCTTGCATCTGATCCCACTCCATCCTCTTCCAATTTGAAACCATTCCTTCTTGTCTTTTTGTCCCAGGCCCTTGTCCCAAGTCCCTCTTCAGCTCTCTTGGAGCTCCTTTAGGTCCTGGAAGGGGCTCTAAGGTCTCTCTGGAGCCTTCTCTTCTCCAGGTGAGCACCCCCACCTCTCCCAGCCTGCCTCCAGAGGGGCTCCAGCCCTTGGAGCACTCCGTGGCCTGCTCTGGACTCTCTCCAGCAGCTCCATGTCCCTCCTGTGCTGGGGGCCCCAGAGCTCTGCAGGTGGGGTCTCACCTGAGCGGGGCAGAGGGGCAGAATCACCTTCCTTGACATTCTGCCAACACTGATGTCCAGCCCAGGACAGGGTTGGCTTTCTGGGTTGCCAGTGCAGGTCATGTTGAGCTTCTCAGCCACTAAGACCCCCAAGTCCTTCTCCTGCTCTCAATCCCCTCTCTGCCCAGCCTGTATTTGGGCACTGATGCGTGTGCAGGGGCATATATAATTATACTGGGAGAATTATTACAGTAACCTTGTGTTCCTCTATGGGGTATAACCATAGCACTTAGTTTTTACCCTGAGTTCCTCCAGTAAGAGCACTTTTCATACACACCAAGAAAACAACTGTTCTAAGTGAAGTTACTGTCTATATAACAACCACAGGAATATCTACTTTATTTCATATATTGCTTTGGGAAATCTGTTCTGCCCACCCCAAATGGCTGTCTATCTTAAATATATCTGCTCAGAGTGATGTGTGTTATATAAATAAACTACACAGGCAGCATGTTTGTCAATCAGCAAAAAAGGCCCTATGCCCCCTATCCCAGGCACATGTACTTGGTAAGCATTGGTTTCCAACAGATAAATGTAATCAAGGTTTATATGCTCACAGAAGCCAACAGGATGGGATTTTTTCACTTGGAAGATCAGAAGAAAATTGTAACTAATGTTGTGGAAAATTACTTTGATATTGCTTTCTCAGTACAGCATCACAATTAGGTAGCAATGTGAAGCACAGGGAAAGAATAAATGAATAGTAACAAATCAACACAAACAGCTACTGTCAGGAGTACTTTGCTCAGTGAAAGTAATGTAAGCATTACTTAAAGTTTTATGACTGTGGATTTTATACTGGTTTAAGTAGTACATCAAGGTCTCACTGTCATGCTGGTTAGGACTTAAACAATCAAGAACAATTTCTGAAATAGACAGATAAAACTGAAGTACCAAAGTATTTTTATTAATCTTGTTTCATAAGTTGTTCTATCCTAAATTAAAGATGACTGAACATACTAACAATGAAAAATGTCCTTTTGGACAATGCAAAGGCTCCTATGCTGCTTTTTGGTGGAAAATGATTGTTACCAACTTCTCTCCAGCCCCGCTGATTCCAGCATCTGGCAAATGTGTTTTACTACACAGGAAATACAAAAGCAAAGGCTAATCCAGTAAAGCTTTTCCATGCAGAATCTGTTGTCCTAAGTAGCTTAATGATACGTGCACTTGTTCAATTCTCTCGAGAGAGCAATCAGGCAAGCAAATTATAGCAATATCCCATCTCCATTAGAGCCAGGCCCCTTTATGGAGAAACATTCTGAGCACAGCCAGGGAAGGATCCTTCTCAGCACGCCAAAAACATCGCCTGTGATTGACAGATTTTCACACAAGACTGTCTAGGAAGGAAATATGCCAGCCTGTATTTTTAAATGAAATTAATGGATATTTTTTCCTATGTTCTTTAGGTCACCTAATATGTTTTAGTGATAACTGGTATCATTTTCAAAAGCAGTTGAAATGAGAAGTTTCTCAGTCCACTGGGAGTTGAAAGCACTTAACACACATGAAAATCAGCCAAACAGAAATAAAAGTAATTGTATTGAGCACCATTTACTCAAGGGTACAGTCTGGTTCCTATTAACATAAATAGTAATTGAATGTGAGAATTGAGGAATTGATTACACACCTTTGGCAGTAACAGCATCGTTGGCATGTTTGTGTTTTAGGTATCAGAGCAATCGAGCACATTGCAGAGAGAGTTTCCTTGCCAGGGGGAGGAGCTCTGTTCAAACTTGCTTTTATTTAAATATGCTTAGGTGTTTCCTTCTCCAGTTACACTGCTCTCAAAAATCACTTCCCAGTGTACTACAATCAGCAGTCAGCATTCAAGAGGTTTATGGCAGAGAACAGGTCAAGAAGAGGGACAGACAGCAAAACAAGTAGAAAAGAAATTGCACTGGTGTTGAGACCACACTAGGAAATCTTTCAGGAGCAGAGAATTTCAATGTCAAGTTACACATTCTTAGAGGCCTTACAGTACTGACTGTATTTGCTGTCCATATATCTTTCCCCCATGCCTAAACTACTGGCCACTTTCAGTCAAATATAGCCAATACCTCTGTTTTAATCTATAAACTCTTTTGCATCTAAGCATACAAAAATAAATTGCAAAAGCACTGAAGGAACCAGTCAATTCCCTGCTTTGCACTACACTAAAGATTCATTACTTCTATAGTTTCAGATGAGTGGCTGCTTTCAAAATTGGTGTGTGCGCAGTTGGACTAAATAAACAACATATTAAAGTAGATTGTTTAGTGACATGGAAACAAGCACTTAACAAACCTAGACACAGAAATTAGCAATTAATGTAATTATTTAAGAGTTCCCTGTGTTACAGTTCAGCTTATTTAAAAATGTTAGCAAGGATTTTAAATAGACACAGTTGTGACACAGATGTCAAATGAATAAACGTTTTATGAAGCATTTGTTTAGTCAAGGGACAATTTCAGTGCAAATAAGAGCAAACATAGGGACCAAACCCCAGAACACGGTGGCATTATCCTGAATGAGAGTAACTGCACTGGCATTTGTCTAGGCTCTAAAGCAGCCTTCATTACAGCCACAGTCAAAGAGAACTGATCTTTGGTCCTTTCATACTTTCATGCCTGCCTTTTAAAGGAAACTACTATTTCAGTCCACAATTTTCTAGTTCTCCCATCTCTGTGGCCTTTGTGACTCTTCACAGGTTCAAGTTAGTAGTGGAGGAAGATGACATGAATATGAATAATTGTTATGAAAGGTTTAATTCAAGTTAGGCAGATTAAGTGAATGCATCCTAAAGTATTTAAAGTTTCTGATGTGACTCATTCATACATGTCTTATTTTGCATCTCATGACACACTGAATACCACATGCAAGTAAATTCAGAGGTGTGCGTTTCCGGGAACAGAACTTGTGATGAAATCTCTCATTTTCACATTTAGAGTGATATAGTTGGTAGTAAAAGTTGGTCTCCACTTTAGCAGAAACTTAACTCCACTCAGGTGGACCCTATGCACGTTGGAAAGGTCGTTGTATAATCAATTAATTAGTTCTTGGAACTGTTTTTTTTTGGGTTTTTTTTGGTTTTTAAAGAAATTGATAGTTACTTTCAAGGTAGCCTTCATTAAGAATGACACACCTTTTTTGAGGTATCCTCTGTGAAATATGTAAAATACATTGAGAATATAAGTACAAAATATTGACCATGAAAGGGCAGGTGATTCAAATAGAAACAGGAATGCTAACCTGGTGTCTGCTGATGAACTATTTCTTCTGGATCCTGTAGGTGAATGAAGACAACGAGCCCAACTGCTCCAAACAGCAAGATGAAGGAGAACATACATGTCAGCCTCATAATTACTGTTCTCAGATCAATCCAGTTCTGACCCAGGAAAAGAACTGCATGTGATCTCCAGGGTACTCTTCACTCATAGTCTTCGTCCTCTCATCTGGAATTCTGGTGTAATATGTCTACAAAAAGTAAAAAATCAAATCCCTAAAATTTAGCACAGAGGGCATTTATTTTCCCAATGCAAATTAGTAGACTTAAGTTCTCATTTAGACCAAATAACTGATTTCTCTAGTATTTATTTTGTACAGTTAATTGCAGTCATACAGTACATTTCTGTCCCATCATTTTGTCTTTAATTTTATGTCCCTTTTTTAACATGTAGAAAAGATGATGTAGTATATAGTTAAAAATTGCATTTTGGGAAAAAATGTTATGCCATGACTGCAATTTTCAGAGAAATCCCTCTCAATAGTTTGCTTAGAATGTGTCACTTTTTATTTTTATTTCTCACTGATTAAACAATATGAAAACCATAAAGGGAGAGAATGTGCGGGGAACAATCATGAAAGCTGCACCTTCGTGCCAAACACAGAACTGGCAGCTGCTGCTTCACCTCTGAGAACAAACAGTCACGCTCAAACCAACCCCCACAGGTCACACACTGAAGAAACTCTGCAGACAAATTGATTTCTGAGGCAAATCCTGGTCACAGTGCTTGGATCAAACATGAAGGAAGAGGGTGGGCAGCAAGAGGAATCTGTGCAGGAGCCTCTCCTCCCCTGGGGCTCCCTGGGAGCTCCTGGGTCTGTTCTGCAAATCCTCGCTGCTGGCTCTGGCATTTGCTGCTGCTGCAGTCCCAGAGCAGCCCTGGTCCCGCATGGGCTGTTGTGTGTTTTCCTAAACCCCTCACTGAGCACAGCCCTGAGCCTTTAAGCCCATGAAAAGTCCTGCTGGAACCAGCATCTGTCCTCATATGATACTAAGGAGTGAAAAAGTGAAATAATGGGAACCAGGGAGGAAAACTACCACCAAGGCCACATGTCTTTATTAATTAAAGTGAGTACTTCTGCCACAGAGCTGTGCCAGTCCTGCATTTTTCAGTAACACAAGGAAAGGTGCATTAGAGCACAGGCAGTGGAACTGGTTCCCAAAATGTAACTGGATGTCTCAGTAGCAGATTATTGAACACAAGGGCTCAGCTGGAGGTCAGCAACAGGCTGCAGGGGTAGCAATCATTTTGCTTTTCCCATATTTTTACTGCAAATCTGGCCTGCTCTAAAGGAAAGTTTTTGAAGCTGGTCTTTGTTTACAAAGGGGATTTTAAATACAGAAGGACTGTGTAACATCTGTTTGAAGGAAGGATGGGGCGTGGAAAGGTGATGATTCTAACTAGTTATGTCAGGAAAAGTCTTTTAAAGATTTGTTCTTAATGTGCCTGGAATATTTGGTGTTGTGGCAACCTGTATGCTTTTTGTGGTTTCCTTAACAAGCTTTTAATTTTCTGTAGTGTACTGGCATTCTACATTTCTAAAATGCATCAAAGACGAACATGAGGTGTGAAAGATGAAGTCATTCTGTAACTCTGACTGATAAGGTTATTAACATTATTTAGTGGCAACTATATTTATTCAGTGTGTAAAGCAGCCAGAGGTCCAGACCAGAACACTGAAGGATGCTTGTATCTTAAATGAATGCAGAGCACTACATTCCCTCTATGCATAAGCAAATTCAGCTTTATTCTCTGTTCAAATTAAGGCAGTCAGTAATTGTGTATTCTTTTTTTCACCTTAAGCTTTTCTCATACCTTTAAAAGTAAAACTAAAATAAAACATCACTAAGTTTTTCTGCACTAGCAAAGCCAGGTTGTTAGAAGCCCTTGTGCAGGTCCATCTGTGCTTTTTGTGAATCTAGTATGGATGGACATTTGCATTTACTGTATATATTTACCTTTAAATGCCAAATGCTCTAAAGCACCAGGGGAGTCAGATTAGCCTTCAAGTAACTGTGCTCCACTTCCCACCACTGCTGTTATGAGCAAACAGGAACACAACCCACCCTCTCTGGTCACTGCAGTATTTGGCTGCACAGGCAGGGGTTCCTTGAATGGGCACTTCCAGCCAAATCCAATGGTGGCAAGACCAGAACATCACCAAAATCACACCATCCTTTGGTAAATCTGTCCAGTCAGAGCTTTCTAAGAATGGTATTTGGTTTCCTAACATACAGGATTTCCTTTTTGTCACCTGTTCATGCTCTCTGCATGCCCATGGGGAGGAGGAAGCTACACCAGGCACAAGGCAGGTGCCTTGCCCGAGGTTTTTCAGCAGGGCCACGATGCTGCAGAGAGCTGGAGGGGTCCCAGTCTGGCAGCCTTGGTGCTGCCCCTCACTGTGGGAATGTCCCCAGCTGGAGGGACACAGAGCTGGTGAGAAATACAGAATCATCACCGGAGAGGGAGTGGCTGAAAAACATCCAGCCCCCAATAACAAGGGGTTTATATTTGCTTAGTGTTGAATTCTAAGTTCTTTTTTTAAAATGAATTATACCTTTGAGCAAGTATGGGTTTCTAAAACAATTGTTATTATTAGCTTAAAATGTGAAACCATTTTCCCTGGATTTGATTTGTTGGAATGTTTTTCTTTGAAGTAGAGGCAGCATTGAGAAAGAAGATCCCTAGCCAGGTTTTAATTAGTGCAAGAAATGCTACAATAGCAGTTTTTAACAGTTAGAGTGTTTACATTATTCCACATCCTATAGAATAACTGTGTCCAGGAACACAAAATCTTTTAGGTTAGACATTACAGCCTCTTCAAGACACCTCAAGATACAACAGTAACAAATTTAGGTGAAAGCATATATATTTGAAAGAATAAAAGGCCACATGTAATTGCACAACTAAAGAAAAAACTGCTACTTGTTGCCTGTAGCCATTGCATGTTTCTGCAAGCACAGGAGTCCGAGAAAGAAAAAGAGAGATCCTCTTTCCTCTCAACAAAATGACTACCTCTCAACAACACACAAACATCAGAGATCTTTAAATTATGGGTCTAAGCTTTCCTCTCCCTATTCTCCTGTAATTATTTTTCCAATCAGTTGACTTTAATTAAGGTGTCCTCTGTGAGCAAAGCTGGTGAATGGCCGTGGCTGGCTTATAGATGCTGAGCATGTGCTTCCCAAGCCCTCCCAGGCTGGTCCTTGAGTTACAGGAGCAGAGGAACTCTGAAAGCAGTTAGCCCTGACTGATAAATGTGAACAAAGTATCCTCATTAAGGAAACATTTGAAAATACCCTTTACACTCCAATCACATCATTTTAAAGATGGATGAGGGAAAAAGCCTACAAAAAACCTAAGTGCAGCTTGACCTAACAGTTTCATCAGGCAGTACTTCCTCAGGCATGTGATGGATGCTTTATGGGGGAGCTCTGGATTGACCCACCCAGTGTCCCAGCACCTGGGGGCAGAATTTGGATGAATCCATACCCTTCAGCTTGCAATTTGCAGTCACATATTTTAACTGTGCTCCTCACAATGGGCAAAAACATATTTTTATAATTCTTAGCATTACTCAGAGTACAAGCAGATAAGGTTGCAAGCAGCTTCCAATCTGAACTCCATTTTGAGCTGCCCTGAACCTATTAAACAGATGGAAAAAGATTCATTAGAATGTGCAATAATGAATTGAAACATCTAACTTCTAATTTATTCTTCCTTATTACATTCCTATGATGGATAAGACTCCTAGGTACCAATATCTGTTTTCCTAAGCTTTCCCATTACCATGCTATGTGACTGCCCTGCACTTGAAAGCAGCACAAGTAGGAGTGTGCACGGATAGTAATTAGCACTCAGCACTTCCCAATTCAAAGACATTTATCAATCACCACAGTACTCCTATGAATTGTGAGGTGAGGAAGTATCAGCATCAGGTAGGAGAATGGGTGTTGGAACATTAATGCAAGACTGGTAAGGAAAAAGATGTACAATTTTAGGTTAAAAATATTCCAAATAAGTTTGTGGAAAATACTTGAATATTATAGAAAAATTTCCTGGCAGCAAATCTTTTCTTCACAAACACAGAAGCAGAACTAATTTCTCCCTGCTCCCAAGCAGTATGGAAAGACCCTGCAAAGATTTATTTAAATCTTCTGACAAAAGTGGCTCTGAAAGTAGTGCTAAGTAAGTCTGGTTTTGGCAATCTCTGCCTGGAGGCCTAATGACCAAACACTTTCACTGTGAGCAGTTTGCTGTTACAATACAGGATCAGTCCAAGGAAGAAAACACCTCTGCTGTTTGATCCCTAGTCTGAGGTGGGTCAGGCAGGCTGCACTGTCTGACAGCTCATGGCTATTTGTCCATCCACGAGTGGTGCAGACATGATATTCTCTCCTTTGTCTGCTGCCAACAGGCCAGGATGAAGAACAGCACTGACGAGATACAATCTGAGGGCACGGTGTAATCCCTAGGTAGAAACTCAGGAGCCAGCCTTTGGCCCATCCAGAACTGGATCTTTCCCTAACTACACTGCTGCATCAAAGGAAAGTAAAATAAAACCTTGCAGAGCAAAGTGGCAGGATAAGCTGTCCCTTTTTCCCCAGGAAAAGGCTTGTTATCTTCAGGTGAGGTCAGTATGAGTGTAGCACATCTAAGACTGTCTTAGAAAATCATGATATCAAGGTATGCAGCTTTCACAACACTGTTGCTTACGAGGAGCTTGGCCCTTTGCAGAGAGCAGCAGGGACAGAGGGTCCAAGGCTGTGCAGCCCCTCCTTTCTCTCTCTGGCTGCTCACCTGCAGCCCCCCTGCCTGGCCCTCTTTGCAATTGGTGCTGCTGCGCTGTCACTCCGCTGCAGAGCTGCTGACCAGCCCGGATAAATCAGCCTGAAGATGAAAGGCACTGTGCCAAGATGAGAGCAAAAGAGGGTTTTTCCTCTGTGGAACCAGGGGAAGGGAAGCTTCAAGGTGTGCCAGACACTGTAAAAGTGCAGGGCACCTTTATACTTTCTCTTCCTGAGGCTTCACTGCAAGGTGCCAAGGCAGCTGCCAGTGAATCAAGGAACACAGACTAATGCCAGCATCAGCATTGTATATTGTTGTCATATACATCAGCAAGTCAACAAAACACACACATTCTTTGCAAATCACGAAACCACTTATTGCTAAATTGGACAATCACAAACC